AAAATTGATCGAAAGTTATACTGAAATGTGTATGACTTACGAGTATTTTTACTCTTAAGATTTTTTTTGAAAAGAGCCGCTGTTTCTTGTTGTTGACGTGACGGAAAGGTAAAAGTTACATTTAAGTTTTACGGTGTAAAAGAGACAATAGATTCAAGATCTTCACTATTACAAGTAGGGCCATTGACAGGTTAACGTCGTATGATTCCTTTACTCGGAGTTTTAATCAACTTTGCATGACGGATGACGGATATGACATGTAGTAATAACCCAACACAGATAATCACTAACGAGTAAGGAAACCTTTTTCCCACTCTAACGTTGAAGCCATTCATTTCAATATCGTTGAAAAACTTATTTAAAATGATTAGCTCAATCACTAAAATTGACCCGCACACTCCTGGAATGATAAATAAAAAAAAAAATTCTGAATTCTAGGCATATCGAATAACGTATAGCGGGTTATTTTCGCGGGTGTAAAATTTCGCGATTTACATTGAATAAGGTATACAAAATATTTTGGCGGATTCAAAACTTTTATCAATACCATTGCATGTGCACTTTTAAATTGACGGAATTTTTTTTTCTCGCGATTTTGCTCTATCTGCGAAAATAAGCGAAAAATTTACACCCCGCGAAAATAACCCGCTATACGGTATCTTAGAAGATGTGTTTACAAAAATATATTGTGTTTTCAATTAGTTACATGTAAGACATATGGTGTTTTCAATTAATTACATGTAAGACATATGGTGTTTTCAATTATTTACATATAAGACACATGGTGTTTTCAATTAGCTACATGTAAGACATACAGTGTTTTAAATTTGTTACATGTAAAACATATGATGTTTTCATTTAGTTACATGTTAGACATATGGTTTTATTTGGCTGTAAATATATTTTAAACTATCTCGGATATTCAGAATTATCTGTTGAATATATGTACTAATTACGTTTTGGTAAAACATATACCCTTTTCCTGAGTTATACAGTCATGAAATGACAGTTAACTCAGTAAAATGGCTAAATAATGCAAAAACTTGTCTATTTGATTTGAACTTCCTTAAGAGTTATACATTTTATATAGAGAACAACCGTCGCCGGCAAGGAAGCAATAACTCTTTCATGTGTGATGTGCTCATTTAAAATAATCGAATATGGTAACGAGTCAATGGTTTTTAAAACGTGAAGCGGTTGGACCACTTTAGCTTTTAGGTCAACAATTTCTTTACTTTATCTCAGAATAGCCAATGCAGATTTCTGTTTAAATGTAAAGAGGAAAAATGGTTCTTGACATTTAAACCAAGACGGCCGACTTTGAATGTATTACTCCATTGTAGGCCAGTACTTGCATGACACTGAAGACCCTCTATATTTTTAAACTGGCCAATTTAAGTACATCATATCTGCCAAGGACACATGCATACATGGGAACCAAAAGACATACATGTATATTTGAATTGAAACTGAAATCTGAACTCTTTTATGTTATTTTCTGTGAAAATATCTACCTCCAAATATAGACAAAAACAGTCTACCATTTGTTAATTTAGAATTTGTTGGCCTTAAGTCATGTGAGTTGTCCTGTTTTCTTCTTCTCAAGGACAATACGTATGCAACTGTCAGAAAACAGCCAATAGTCGTGCACAGAATTGTGAATATTCCTTCTACAAAATGCTCCTTAAACCTTCCTTTTAAAAAAGAAGTATGTTTGCATTTAAATTGAATATATTTAGCTTTCGTAACATATACAGTTTTTATCTAATTTTTGTATTTACTAAGAATATCTCTTTTGTATTGACGATTATGTGGTCTTGGGAATTTGTCTGCCAGGAAAGTGAAATAACAAACATTTTTATCATTGTCGGTCAAGTTTTTCTTGTTTTAGAGCTTTAGAATTTAGCGTTCATAAAACATTGAATCATTCAAACACTAACGTGTTTCTTCTCTAATGTCACTTTTAAGACTTTTTTCAGAACGCTCTTTAACGTCGTAATTGATTCGGCCTACACACTGTTTGTTTCGAATTCACGCGCGTCTGCCGTACAACATGTTTATCATGGTATATATGATGAGTTTACGTATGACAATTGGGTCGATGCCACTGCTGGTGAAGGTTTTTCCCCGAGGGTATCACCAGCCCACTAGTCATACTAGTCGTCACTTTTATGTTTACAGGTATTATCATTGATATGGCAATAACTAAAAATTAACTGGTTACAAACTTTTAGATATTTGAAACTACTAAGGAGTTTAACCCTAGGAATAGATTACCGTAGCTGTATTTCGCAAAACTGTTTTGGAATTTTGGTATCTCAACGCTTTTCAACTTCGTACTTTATTTGGTCTTTTTAAGTTTTTGATTCGAGAGTCACAGATGAGTCTTTTGTAGACTAAACGCGCGTCTGACATACACAGTTTTTAACGCTGGTATCTATGATGAGTTTATTTACACCACAGGTAATTTTTGTAGACATGAACGTTTTTTTCAAGTCGGGAACGCCATCAGCAGAGGATGCTACAACTGAATTGACGTTTTGTGAATTTATGATACAGGATTGAGATGTCATTTCAATTCATAACTCACTATTATTATATTAAAGTAAATAAGTACTTTAGTGTGGCTGTACTCTGTCTAATTGACCTTTTTTTTCTTATTATCAATAAAAATTATACGAACCAAAAGATGACAGTCTGCTATTTGATTCATAAAGATTATACGAACCAAAAGATGACAGTCTGCTATTTGATTCATAAAGATTATGCGAACCAAAAGATGACAGTCTGCTATTTGATTCATAAGGATTATACGAACCAAAAGATGACAGAATACGAACCAAAAGTTGACAGTCTGCTATTTGATTCATAAAGATTATACGAACCAAAAGATGACAGTCTGCTATTTGATTCATAAAGATTATACGAACCAAAAGATGACAGTCTGCTATTTGATTCATAAAGATTATACGAAGCAAAAGATGACAGTCTGCTATTTGATTCATAAAGATTATACGAACCAAAAGATGACAGTCTGCTATTTGATTCATAAAGATTATACGAACCAAAAGATGACAGTCTGCTATTTGATTCATAAAGATTATACGAACCACAAAATGACAGACTGCTATTTGATTCATAAAGAGTATACGAACCAAAAGATGACAGGCTGCTATTTGATTCATAAAGATTATACGAACCAAAAGATGACAGTCTGCTATTTGATTCATAAAGATTATACGAACCAAAAGATGACAGTCTGCTATTTGATTCATAAAGATTAAACGAACCAAAAGATGACAGTCCGCTATTTGATTCATAAAGATTATACGAACCACAAGATGACAGTCTTCTATCTGATTCATAAAGAGTATACGAACCAAAAGATGACAGTCTGCTATTTGATTCATAAAGATTATACGAACCACAAGAAGACAGTCTGCTATTTGATTGATAAAGATTATACGAACCAAAAGATGACAGTCTTCTATTTGATTCATAAAGCAGAAATGAAACTATAACACATGTATCATTTTCAGCAAGGAATCTCGACGTAGTGAAAATCCGAATGTTATATTGCTGTGTGTTTGTTTATTCCACATTGGCTAGAGGTACTGTGGAAAGTTGAGATGTCACAAAACATGTTTAACCCTGCCAGTCAGGAACCTCTAGCCTTTGTTAGTCTTGTCTATTTGTTTACATTTAGTTCATTTGTATGCCTCGGAGTTAAGTGTGGCGTTCATTTCGCTGAACTGTTATACATTATTGTTAAGGAGCAAGCTGGAGCCCACCTCTGGGTGCTAAATTTTCTCGCTGCGTTTAAGAAAAATTTGGTGGCCTTGGCTGGTTTTCTGCTCTTTAGTTCGGTTGTTGTCTTTTTGACACATTCTCCGTTTCAATTCTCTATTCTATTGAGTCAAATAATAAACTAACACTTTCTTTTGTTCTATAACACCAGAGTCCACCGATTATATAGGTTTTTTTGCCAGAAATAAATCGTAATTTTTGTGTTACATTCCTTGTTTTAAGTCTTTTTTTGTCCATAATGGTGTCACGTTTCGATCTACGAAATCTGATTATTTCCTTTGAATTTTCGAAATGTTATGAAGGATATCCGTCTTTTCGAATTCATTAGTAGTCTCAAATGCGTTTGCTTTTTACATTAAAAGTGTGTGTGATGCCCGCCAAAATTAGTACCCCGGTACTTTCTCTTAATCACATGTGCAATATTTTGAAATTTTGAAATGCAAGACCAGATGCTATCACAGATGGAGGGCACGTTTTTCAAATTACATGCCGTTTATCATTTTCTTAATCCAGTTGGTGGTTATTTTGTTGGTAGTTATACTCTTCAGGTTATATTGGGGTTTAACCTTTACTTTTACAGCTAATGGTCTAGATTTGCAAATTGAGAGACTGTATCAAATCAGGACGCTGTATCGTGTGTTATATGTTACATAATGAAACCAGTTAACTGATGTAGTTTTGAAAAACGATAAATTCATCCAACACAACATCATAATAGTTGTCAATCGTAGAATTTGGTATTATTGAAAAAATGGAAAGAAACACGGGTGTTACAGATGACTTAATGATGTTTGCTGCTCTTGTTTTTGACTTTTTGTTGAATTTCGGAATCCTCTGGCTTTGTCGAAGAAGTGCCATTAATGGTTTTGCCCGCTTACCCCTATGATTCTTTAAAATCTTATGAAATCCTTATAATTTTTTCCATAGTTTTTAAAAGAAAAGAGGTACCAATGTTTAATTCATGAAAATTCTAGAAAAATTCTTTTTTCCTGCCAAATTTTTAATGGCATGTATTTTAAAACGAAGGACACAGATCTTATTTGTGTGCTATTTTTAATTCTGTTATTTTTAACAGTTTCTTACGAGCTTGTTATTTTGAACCAGAGTACCGAAGATTTTTATAAGATCATGAAGATGTTAAGCAGTCCTCCTGTTTTATATAAAAATTATCGCAAGGGTGCAGTGATCAATGCTTAAAACGTCAACTTAATTTATTCCAATGGAAACAAGATCCAGCCCGAAAATGTATCATATTTGTTGCCATCCACAATTCCGTCTCCAGTGTTTCCCGTTCTTATCAATACATGGTCACTTTGATTTACCTACATTTAAAAAAATTCATAAAAATTATAAATCAATAACTTTTCAAACTCTATGTATTGATTTTCGATTGTTATTCTTATTAAATAAAAAAAAAGTATGAATAAACATAATGAGATGTAAAACTAAAGGAAAGGTCATTGTTTAATAGTAGTGCAATGCTTTTTAAATTTCAATATGTTGTTTCTCATGGCAAAATGGAGATCAACATTCGTTTTAGCGACCTTTTGATCAATGCTTTTCTGCAGTTAAGCAACAAAGGAATTTTTTTTGTATCAAATAAGCAAATAATGGAAAAGAAAGGACATGTTGTATTATTTCCTAAACTCATCAAATAAAACCAAAAGCTTTATTAATAAATAAACAGTGGCTTAACTACGGTTCTTCGTTTCAAAAGTGACACCGAGAAGTACTTCACTTATGATCCTTGGAACAATATTATGCGAAATAAGTTGTTAAAATTCAATTCAGCTACATGTATCTTTTAATTTTGAAATAGTATATAAAAATGTAATGACAAACAGTAATCAAACGGTTCCATACCTTTAGGACAACAGTTTGTGTACCACTACCGTAATCACCACCGGTACCTGCGTCCACCAAGGTGTAAGCATAGGGAGTACCATTAACAACCAATTCTGTTGTTTCCCAGTTTCCATTTCCTACTGATGCTGTCCAAGTAAACACATAAATACCAGTCATGGGAACAGTAAATACACCATCACCAGTATTGTAAGAGGAAGTTGTATCCAGTATAACCTGTAGGTCGTTCGGAAGATTATATGTATAAAATGTTAAGATCAGTAATATAGATATAATATGAAAATTGTTTCTCATTTGTCTCTTTTGAGGTTTTAATATTTTGGTTTTTTGTTTGTGGGTTGGAGGGAAGGAGGCTTCGAATTAGTCTGAGTAAAAAAATTCATAACTGAGTAATACCTGTTTTTTTTATGCAAGACTATCTTTAAAACAGCAATGATTATTAGGTCAGTAATCGGTGCTTTTTCTTGCAATGCCATGATTTAAAGCATACATTTTTTTATGTAGTTTTCATTTATAATTGAAAATTAACTGGCATTGAGTCCTGATTTGGTCCGCCGTTTTCTGCGTAGAGAAATGCCTATACCAAGTCCGGAGTGTGTCAGTTTGTTTTCCATTCGTTAGATGTGTTTGAGCTTTTAATTTTGCCATTTTGTGGTAGAATATATGTTTTTGGTTTCCCATGGAGTTCGTTATTTTTGTTATTTTACTTTATTCATTTTTAACCATGTCGGCCATTTTTGTTGACAGGAGTGTTCATCGGACACATTTTCGTAACAGTATACCCTAATAATACTATGACCAAGGTTACTTAAATTTTTTGAAAGATCTTAGGAAAAAACGCATTTTTTTTTAAAATCATCATTGAAGGGCAGACAATTTCGGTCATGTCATGTAAATCTTGTTTTGCTGATCATTTTCCTGAATGAAGCATCTCTCTATTTATAATATTTTCCAAACTGATACGCAAAAATGAAAGACATTAGTAAAATTTTACATTTATGAGCAAAAACTCCTACAAAAAAGGTCGTCTGACAATTTTATACGGAAATAGACAGAAGGTTGATCTCAACATTTGTGCCCTGTCATTTTTTCACTATTCATAGCGTTTTCAAGATGATAGACACAAATTGCAGTTTACCCCTATGTTCTATTTTTAGCCATGTCGGTCATCTTGGTTGGCAGGCGGGGTCGTCTGACACATTTTCTAAACTAGATACCCAAATAATGATTGTGGCCAAGTTTTATCAAATTTGGCCCAGTAGTTTCAGAGGAGAGTATTTTTGTAAAAGTTAACGACGACGGACGACGGATGGTGAGAAAAGTTCACTTGGCCTTTCAGCTTGAAGCGCAACAAAGGAAACAAAGGAAACAAAATATTTGATTTAATTTCTCAGTTTGTTATTCTCGAAAAAAATTCACCAGATACTCTCCATACGTAATTTTTAGAAAGGCAAAAATACGAAATAATATATTATATATGTTACATGCATTTTCTTAATTTATGCATTTTGTAAAAAATTCAGGAAATTTACAAAATGCCAACCTTGACAGGTATTATATAAAAATGACTAAACATTTTGTAAAATGACTGGAATTTTCACACAAAATTCAACAAATTGCCTATTCAGTATCATAGACTTATGACCAAAAACACGCCATCTTGCAAAGAAAATGCCTAATGCTACAAAAAAATTCATGAAGTTTATTCTTCGAATACCAACTTGGAACATTTGTATGTAAGTCATAGGTTTTTTTGTGAAACTACTATAAGTGTATATTTAATTTCAGATAGTAATTTTATGACTTTCTTGTCATGGTGACAGATCATTCTCACAATAAAACAAAATTTACAAACATTCTTTCTAAAAATCTAAATTCAAAATAAAAGTGTGAAATATGAAACAAAGAAAAAAGAAGATTGTTGTTTGATTTACTGATTGTTGTTTGTTTGCGTTTAGTGGCAAATTCTTTATGCTTATTTAGGACGAGAACAAATTGATTATACATCAAATAGTTAAGTACTGCAATAGATTGATCAGATAAAGGACAAGAATTTTGATTGCCGCTTGAAAAGAAAGTATGTTGGAAAAGGACAGATGTTACAGCAAAACGAATCCACCTCTAAAGCATTGGTTTCACCATACAAGGTCATGTTTGGTTGTAAAGTAAAGATATGAGTATAGTAATTTTTGGGGCCCTTTATAGCTTGCTGTGCGGTGTGAGCCAAGGCTCCATGTTGAAGACCGTACTCTGACCTATAATGGTTTACTTTTTATAAATTGTGACCTGGATGGAGAGTTGTCTCATTGGCACTCATACCACATCTTCTTATATCTATCTTTATCGTTACTACCTCAAGGACATTCTTAGGTCTTTACAATCTGACGATTTAAGGCGGCAGTAGTGTACTGATGCTCGAATAAAACAATCAACCAAGAATAGACAATGTGTGTCCATAGGATAAGCGTCTCCTTCTATACATGCATCACCTACTATGCGACGAATCTGATTGAGTCTGGTGCATGCTCTTATAACACAAAAGATGTACGTTAACCTAATCACGCTGATGATACTAAGAATCTTTTGGAAACACAGGAAAAGAAGATATTTATGTGTGTTCTGTTTGCCAAATCCCGTGTTTTTTGACGTTTAAATATTGATAGAGTGTCAAATGTGGTTGAAGTGCTAAGACAAGATTTAACGATATATTTGTCAAACAATCAGGACAAATGTGCAACCATTCAAATATCTTATGAAATTACAAATAATTTTCGAGTTCAGTACTTGAGGGAATTCTAAATAATTCAGTTGATTTTTTTTTATTTATAATTAAATATCTTCAAATGCAAGCGTTAAAATTCAGTTAATATCATAGATAAAACTGTTGTGTTGTTCTATACTTTCAATGGCTCAGTTTTTGTGTACATTTCATCCATAAAATAATTCAGGCATTTTGTAAAATGCCTTTTAATTTTACTAGGCGTTATGTGAAATGCCTGAAAAAATAAGTCAATATATATATTGCCTTAATCTTACAGCCATTTTAGAAAATGCCTATAGTTGTCAGGCATTTTACAAAATGCCTGTAACATATACATAATACAATTCAATTCATTGTAAAGTGTCAATGTGCCTTTCTCTCTAATGGGATATACTTCGAGTGTACATTTCTTTGCTGATTCGGCATTCACACGTTTGTGATGATGTCTGTTTGTAATACTTTAATTTCTAAAGATGACTGAAAGTTGACATGAAGCAGTTTTGACCCAATGGTAGTGAAAGACGTGCATTGTATTCAATGATCCGTACGGAGAACATGTATTTATAGATGACCTTCATCAGGTAGGCTCTGGATACCTATGCCATATTATGTTCACCTATGTGAGATGAATATATCGTATCTGATATTATTTAATACGAAAAATACACCGTCCTTTTTAAAGGGGGTTTATTGCTTCTTCACACAAAAACAATGAACAGTTTGTATTGAAATAATTATAACAAATTAATTGGTAAACACATTTACGTTAACTGTTTAAAATAATTATGGATTAGATGTACAGTTTCATAGTATGACTATCATCATATGAACTTTATAAAGTATTGATTTACCTTGTCAAATATTACTGCTGAATGATGGCCTAGTCCAGCTAAGTGCTTTGTTAGTTGAGTTGAAAATGCAACTTCAGTTGAGGATTGCTGTCTCTTCTGAACTGTCATATATCATATGAAAAAATGTAAAATGTATTGCCCAAACAAACAAAACTGATCAAATGTAATGATAATATAAATAATAATAAAAAAGAACCCATAACAACCTATTGGTTGAATAGTTAAATACGATATGGAGCTATTGATTCAGAAGAAACACATTGTTTTAGTATGTTCTTCGTTTTCCTTTTCTTGCAATTGTCAATATTACATTAAACACGTCTTTCTTGTTAAACAATACACTGTTCTTACAAATTTTTTTTATATAAACATTTTTGAAACTTAACAATTTCATATAATTAGAATTTCAACAGTCACTACTTATATTCACTTGATTCAATCACTCAAATGTACAAAATCTTTGATTTTAACATTAAATCGATGTTTTATGATTTATAATGATCAATTGATCGAACTTCTAAACATGCCGCAAATCTCGACTCTCATGAGTATAGTAAAAGAGAGGCGAGAGATACCAAAGGGATATTCAAACTCATTACTCGAAAACAAACTGACAATGTCATGGCCAACTATTTCATATTTTTTATCCAAACCTTTCATAGATGTACAATCGCTGATTTCCACATTCATTCTACTAATTTCAGTTTGTAGTTCTTTGATTACGGATTGCTGTCTGTTGAGTTGTATTTGTTGTTCAGCATTTAATCTGTTTTGATGAAGAATGACCTTTTCCAATATCTCAAGACGTTTTTCCATTTGTTTGTCATTTTCCAGAGACAGTATTTGACTTGTTTGCAAAAGTAATATAATCGTGAAGTAAAGCGGAATCATTGTTGTAATCATTTAACACTTCCACTCACGTTTACGGTTCAACACTAAATAGTCTTATCTTGAATTAATTGATTGAAGTTATAACATCAAAGATAAGGTTAAGTTAAGTGATATGTTGAAGTCACACTTTCATGCTGATCTGAATAAGCTGAATATTCATAAAACACAGTTGCCGCATTCCATTTCAATAGCTTATGAGGTCAGCACAAGACAGTCCTAGGCAAAGGGTCTTCATTTTACTGCTTTTTTACTGTTTTGTAGAATTTTGATTTTAAGAATTTAACTTGTTTGTTGCATATTTTGTATAGCCTATGGTGACTTTTGAAATCTCATTCTACTTTATAGTCACATTTTATTGTAGAGTCTATGTCTCATTTAATGTTAGAACCTTAGTATGCGACAGGCATTGGAGACGTTGGTGACAGGTTAACATGTATATATTAAGAAATGAAAAGCCAGATATGCAGTAAATCTTTATTCAAAATAATGTATAAAAAATTACTTTTTCACAAAATTCTGAAGGATGTTCACTTAATATTGTCATTTGTTAATCCATCTTAAAAGAGCTGACTTGTTTTCAATTCTACTGTAAGCGTACATGCAATAAATATAATGGCAGTCGCATTATAATCATTTTACTTAAAATGGTTTATACAGTTTTCGGTAAGTAATATTGCGATTATATATAATTATTTTATATTATCTAAATTTTCTCATTTTCCACACTAAAATTGTTTAAAATATTGCTTCAGAAATAAATCACTAAAATGTTAGATTAGAATTGCAATTAGTTTGATAATTTGAAAAGTGTTTATACAAGCACTACTTAAAGAACTTTGATGTATCGGAGGGTTCATTCATGTCTTCTTGGCGTTTTTTAAGGATCTATTTGCTGTGACATTTAATCGTGAGTTCATAATTTAACCAGGTAATTACACTTCCAAATCCCAATTGATCACTATTGAAATACCATAAGTTATCAGCAATTGTGGTTTCATTATCAAAATTATGTGTAGAATAACTGTGTTGTGGCTAGAACATTAAAGATATTAAGCGTCATACCATTCCCAAATACTATATAACTAAAATAAAAGGATGAAGATTAGTGAGGCTATATCTAATCTATAAATCCCAAACTTTGCAATTTTAAATAAAACAAGAAAAAACTGTTTAAGTGTCCTAAAACATACCCCATCATCCATCGCATGTATAAAAACCACTCTAGACATTTTGTGCAGGTTTACTAATCCTATAGTGTACTGCAGTATAAGTTTTGTCACGGCAATTAAGAATATGTACAGTTTATTGTTAGGAATATGAACAGTTTTCAACTAATTTAGCAAACAATTATATCGAAAAGGAGGGCATGTCAAACCATCGGTGAATTACGAAGGTCTTAGCAAGAAATGTATGAAAGGTAAGGCGAGATGATGAATCATTTTGAGATATTTAACGATTTATTATATATATCATCAATAGACCTTATCGCTATTTGGGAATCTGCGACACTTGAACTATTGATTTCATACAACAATCAATTTTCTTTTGTGTCGTCAGACATTCTCCATTGTGACGTCAAAATTTTACGCGGACAAATAGCGATTATGTGTATTGTACACGACACATAATCTTGAGATGTTACACCTTTGAGTCTATGTCAAAAGTGAAATGAATTATGTTCCATCCACAATGTCCCGAAAAGTTAAATAATATAATAAGTAAAAGGTAATAATATGCTACACTCCCTCTGAAAGTAATACACCTTCATGTAAAGTGTCCTTAAGTTGTTTGCTTGTTTTTTGGTGTGTTTTTCTGGGTTTCATGTTTGTGTCTTTGTTCCTTTTTTTATTTATTTTGTTTATTCTGTTTTTAAAAGGAGAACAAACTCTCTAAAACACGAACAATTAATCGGAAAACTAATGTTTTAATCTTAACACATTACAAAATTCATTTGTATCTGTATACTTTCTACAAACACATTTATACTAAAATGTCTTTTATGGGGGTTTTAATCTGATCGTTATTCGATTTGTCATATTTCCAGTAGTTGGTTTCGAGTACAATCGATTAATATTATTTTTTTTAATGTATATGTTGTGATTTATTATCTTAAGGTTCTAATTTTCTGATTTAATATAACAATTATCTCCTAAACATCATGTCTTACACGTGCATTAAAATTCCAGGTATTCAGTGAAATGTAAACCACTTCCCCTATGTAAGCTTAGTCAAATAATAATCTCTTACGGAATAACTGATTTCAATCCCGGTTTGTTGATGGATTTATTTGTTGCTCAGCCGTAATTTTTTGTGTGATTTTTACGGAATGGTGTCTTCCCGTCTATTCACTCTAGGCTTTCGTGTTATTCTCCATGATATGCTTTAACTGTCCCTTCTTCTCACTCTTTAATCCTATTAAAGGCTTTCATTTTTTTACAGATGGTCAAAATCAATATTTGTTTTTATGCAATCCACTGCACAAGTTACACAATTACTTCTTGCGCACATAACTTATTGCACGCGGATTATTGTATCTGATTATCTTTAACTTTCTCAAAAGAAAATTTTTTTATCGTTTCGTTGAGATTCTTTTCGCAACTTTACGTGTTTTAACTGTTTCAACAACTACGCATTTTTCCTTAGGTGCGAATAGCATTTCTTGACTGAGCTAGATTATAAAACAGATGGCTAAATCGCTCAAAAAACAATTATGTGTACAAGACAAAATGCACATAACTTAGGACACCTGACAGTTTTATTATATTTACATACACACTGTGAAAACAGTTGACTGAAATAAAACTGAAGTTAAAACGAAGGATAAACCCATCCAACACAACATATAGATGATTGTAAAGATGAAATAATGCAAGTTAAACTGGTTATACAGCTGACTTAAAAAGATGTTAGGCAAATCCCAAAAAAGTCCAATGAATACAGGAACCAATATAATAACTGTCAAATTTCAGTTTATTCCATTGGAAACAAAATCCAGCCCGAAAATGTATTATACGTTTTGCCGTCCACGACGCCGTCTCCTATGTTCCCCGTTCTTATCCATACGTGGTCACTTTTGTTTACCTATTGTAATAGAGTAAATAAAATTAATATCTAAATTACTACATGATCTTAATTCATGTATTCACTTCTATAAGCACAATTAGGTGTAAAATTAAGATTAAACGAAAATGATTTATTACAGTGAATATTGTTAAAAACATCAATAAATAAAACTACGAAGGATATTCACTACTCACATTTTTTTCACTTACTTCCCGGCATTTTTGTAAGACAATTCATGGACATTTGTGAAGTCCAGATATGCTGTTGAAGCAACGTTAAAGGGAAATCACACTATTGTTTATACGCATCGCACTCGGCGCCGCTATAGTGTCGTGACCGTATTATGACGTCGTCGTTTTCGAGTCCGTCGTTAAGGTTGCTAATTTCTAAAATGGCGGCCCGCTCAAAGGGACGTTCACTAAAGCAAGAGAAAGCAAATGACGTGCAAAAAATGAAACTGCTACTCGAAACGGACAAAATGTATGGCAAAAAAATAGCCGAAAGTGGTCTTGATATGATCTTGATATGAATTACCTTACGATTGGGTTTAATTCAAATGAGTTACTCTCTTTAAATAAAGATATGATTATTATTATTATTATTATTGAGTTAGTATTTACATACAATACCATTTATACAATTATTTTTCTTAAAGGTTTATTAATTTCACCGAAAAATATTGTTAGACATGAGAAATATCAACATTTTTTGTCGATCTGGTCTTTATTATTTGAAGCGAAATCCGTCGGCTCAACTTTTTTTTGTAGAAAAACTTTTTTTATTGACTGTAAAGTTTATATTTTCATATATTAACATATTTATTGATCTCGCAGATTTCTTTGTTTCACGAAGAAAAAAATATTTAAAAACAAAAGAGATATTTATGACACTTTTTGTCGATCATTTCAGTATAATCAAAGCGTACATCGGCGAATGTGAAATCCGTCCGGTCAACTTTTTTTTTTAGAAAAACATTTTGTTTTACTATAAAGTTTAAATTTTCATTTAAGATAACTATTAATCTCGCAGATTTCTTAGTTGTATGAAAAAATATTGTAAAACAAAAGAGATATTACAAGTAACACTTTTTGTCGATCAGTTCAATATATGTAAAGCGTTACGGTACATCAGTGAGTGTGAAATCCGTCCGGTCAACTTCTCTGTTAGTTTTTCATAAAATATAGTCTAACATTTCCAAGGTCTTCAAATATTAAAAAAATCTATCAAATAAAAAAGTTCTGACTATTTATATTTGATTTTTGGTGTTTTAACGCCACTTTTAAGCACCGCTTTTGGGCTATTTCGTGGCGGCCAGTTTTTATTGGTGGAGGAAGCCGGAGTGACCGGAGAAAACCACCGACCTTCGATAGGAAAACTGACAATCATAGTCAATTAAGATTGGAGTCGAGTGCACCCGCACGAGCAGGGTTTGAACTCACAACTTCAGTGTTGACTGGCTAGTGATTACAGTAGTAACTACTTAGACCACTCGGCCACCGAGGCCCCCTGACTATTTATATCTCATCCGGTCAATATAGGCAATTGTACTGTCATTAGTGTAACCCAACTGTTGGCAACGTATCGTCGCGATGCGGTATGTGGGAATATACTGAACACGAACCTACATCTGACCTACTAGGTTTTGTTTTGTTTTTGTTTTTGTTTTCGTTTTTTTCTTGATTTTTGCAAAACTTTCAGTGGCAAATATTACATGAATATCAGCACAAAATTTTTTTCTATAGGAGATGAATACTCTTTCACAAGACGGACCTAAATGTGATTTTTACAGATTAGCACTCTGAAAGACATGTTACTCTACATGTGTGTGTGTGTTAGATATTTCTCTTGTTGGAGACTTGTAAAGCCAAATACACAGTGTGGATTTTTTGTTGTTGTTGTAGGCAGTACGGTCATCAATAGTACAAAAATAACTAGGCATAGTGTTTGAATTTTAGATTGCTCTGACGTCTAGCAGCCTTATTTTTTTAACTTGCTGGTCGTACAGTTCGCTATAATTGACAGTTTGAAGAATTACTACAAAATATGATTGTTTTTCGTGCCCAAATTATGTAAGCCTGTACAAAGCATTAAAGGAAGATTGAGTATAATGTACTATATAATACGGTGCTAAATTTTCTTTGATTTCGACAGCCAGCAACCGATGTAAAATTTTGTATGCTTCTTTAACAGTGATGTTTAACTGGCGTCATTCTTAAATAACGTTTGATATTTCAACAAATATGATTACTCTACGAATCACTCGTGTTCATGTGTTTGTGCCCCCATACCCCCTTCCTCCCCCCCCCTAAAAAAAAAGAAAGAGAGAGAGAGAGGCGTTTGACACCAAAGGAACATCGAAACTCATTGTTCTTATTTACATCCCTCTGTTGGGCAGAAAACTACAAGTTCCGGAAGCTGTACGCTTACATGCTGTTACTCTTGGTATATTGTAATTTTTTTTTCAAAACAAAACCTAGTAGGTCAGATGTAGGTTCGTGTTCAGATAACTCAATGTGATCACTTGCATGTCAACAAACAGTGATATAGGGAGATTGTCAGATTTCGATCATGACTGTAAAGGGCAACCATTTGTTTAATACAAAGATAGCTGATTTACTCTTGATACCTTGGTTCTTTAAAAAAAAAATGGCCAACATGATATAGCAGAGTGCTGAAAGTGGCACACACAATCAATCAGTTATTTTCAAATTCCCTTTCATTAATCAGTTTTGGCAAAAAAAGTATATAGGCTATACCATACTGAAACATAAATGTGATAAAAGAATATACAATTCAAGAAAGAGAGGTGCACCAACAGAAAATAGAAACTGCAATCTTTCTTTTAATTTCATCGGATCTCAAAATTTTAACTCTTACCAGAATTTTTTCTATCTCACAGTATAATTCGGAAGTTTCTAAGTGGAACTCAAGTTTTAACTAGAACTCTCACTCGAATTAACATTCGAACTAAAAATAAAACTGGAACTTTAACTCAAAATTTAGCTGGAACTCGAACTCTTATTCTACCTCAAAGGTTATCCACACTCTCATTTGTCATCTGATAAAAAAATTTGTAAGGGTTCCACGGAACCCAGTGTCTCGCCTACTTTTGCTGTTAATCGCAGGCTCAACAAAAATGAGGAAAAAATCACTAAAAATATTCCTCTCGATACTATCGTTTGATTGTAAGAAACTTCTGTCCAAGTTTGGTATAAATCTAGGATAGTTTATGGATCTAATAAATGTTTTAAAAACTTTAACTGCATACTGTATGTAATGTTAACTGGAAGAAAAACTAAGTCCATTTAAAAGTAAAATACGGATAAACAGGTACAAAATTTTGACAAAATTTCCTTCCAGATACGAGCTTCTGTTCAAGTTTGGTACATATCCAGGATAGTTAAAGAAAGTTGTTAAAATCTTAAAAACGTTAACCACAGAGTAAATGTATTGTTTCCTGGCAGAAAAACTAAGTAAATTTATAAGTAAAATACGGAAAAAATAGATTTTTTTTTTTACAAAATTTACTTCTGCATACTATCTTATGATCATAAACAAGCTTCTGACCAAGTTTGGTACAAATCCAGGATAGTTTAAGAAAGTTATTAAAAATTTAAAAACTCTAATCACAGAGTAAATGTATTGTTTCCTGGCAGAAAACCAAGTCCATTTATAAGTCAAATATGGAAAAACAGGAATTTTATTTTTACAAAATTTACTTCTGGATACTATTTTATGATCATAAACAAGCTTCTGTCCATGTTTGGTAGAAATCCAGGAGAGTTTAAGAAAGTTATTAAAACTTCAAAAACTTTAACCACAGAGTGAATATTTGTAGACGCCGCCGCCGCCGCCGACGACGACGACGACGCCGACGCCGACGCCGACGCCGACGCCGACGACGGAATGTAGGATCGCTATGTCTCGCTTTTTCGACTAAAGTCGAAGGCTCGACAAAAAACTAGAGTTAGATAAAATATATCAACATGTTCAATTAACTCTAAATTATCGGATGCATTGTATTTCTCATAACATACCAAAGTTGAGCGATTAATCGAACGGTAATAAAATATGCGTAATACATAAGGTTTTAATACACAGGCGTTGAACATTGAACATATTATGCACAATGAACATGAAACGATGTATGAAAAATAGGTGCGGGATGATAGAACTCAGAAAAAAATTTGGTTTCCACAGTTCGAATAAATTATGAAGCGTTGTGTAATTACGGAAATGTTAACCAATTTTAAATTCCTACCGAAAATAGGTTTCTTTTAACGTGCTGAGTTTGTGGCATTTTTAACATGGCATTTCAGGTTTTATCTTCCCGGTGCGAATGGACAAGCTAGTGAAATTATGGTTACGAAATTATTCTGCCTGCAGTCTAAAAGGAACGTGTTACTTTTCAGCCCGGATACCCTCAGTCTTCCGAGGTCGAAGATTCTTTATCTGGAAGCCGAAAATTATTTCTATAATACGGCATGAGGCAAAAATTCGTTTTCCACATACAACAAATGCAATTAAATAAAAAAATGAGATGACTTCGACTTTAACAAATACTTTATGATAAACTGTTATTGTATCTATGTTTAACGATTCAATAGATTGATAAAAATATCAATGAATATTAAAAATACCTTAAAAAATGTTCAAAAATGATATTATATTTTGTAGTGAAAAGGTTTAACTTAACCAAAGCGTTGCAAGAAATGCTGTTATGCCAGCAACGTCGTTCTATAACGTTAACAGAAAAGGTTATAGTTCCCGCCAAAATTCAATAATAAGATTATTTCCGTTTTAGCGGATTTAAAACATCGGTGACCCCCCTTTTTTATTTATGCTTTTAAAATCTTCTCTGAAGCTGCAACTTATGCAGAAGTTTGAATGGAAAAACATTAGTAGATTTTTTTTATTTCAAGAAAAATCTATTATAAATAGCAATAAAAATGGCGGGAAATGTTCAAAGGCCTTCAAAAATAAGGAAACTGAGACAAATAAATGTTCATAAGGTACAA